AAAGGCTTTTATATTTGCCAAAAATACTTTTTTATTTTAAAAACAAACAAGCAAGCCCTGTCCAGATTTAAAAAGTAACGCAAAAGTAACGTAATGCATTACTTTCCATAAAAAGTAACTAAGTAACGTAATTAGTTACTTTTTTATGGAGTAACGCAACACTGTATATATATATTTCTGCATTGTTGTCATATGACTGCGTATGATTCCTTTGTGGAATATGATAGTTATTCGGGTTTATATTCACATGATGGCGGGTAAATGATGACAGAATTCACTTTTTTAGTGAAGTAACATTTCAATCTTCTTGCATTTCCTTTTATTAATCTACTCTTTCTCTTATTCTCTTTTGTAGTGAACTTCGATCACTTCCAGATTCTGCGGGCCATCGGGAAAGGGAGCTTCGGGAAGGTAAGGCGACCAGTTCTGTACTTACTGTACTTACTGTAAAAGAAGAGTTCCTCCAGAACGAGTGGAGCTTGTACAAATAAATGAATAAACGTATGATGAAAGATTGCGGTGTCACATGTAAGTACAGTAAGAGTACAGAGAGAGACTCTAATTACCCTGCGCTCCCGTTATCTGAAACTGAGATTTACCGCTTAAGTAGGCCTTAAGTAATTACAATTTAATTTCTCCATTAATCTGGACCATAGCAGTTAATTAATTTACGACTCATCCTGCTCGTGACACGAGAAAGACAGAATCTCTCCGACAGCGAGGAGATTCAAGGAGAGCAAACAGAGACTTCTGCTGCGAATATGAACACGTTTCATTACATGATTTTAAGGAGCTTTTTATTGACCATAAAGCATGTTGGAGCTGTTGGATCAGTATGTGATGTCCAGTGTGAAGCAGAATAAGCTTTAATAATCACTCGGTCTGTGACTCCTGGAGCTCTGTGGAGGAACTGTGTGGGCTCTTTAAACATCTTTACAAATGTTTCTGAAATAATCTGTGGCTTTGCTTAAAATGTACAGTCAAAAGAAACAATCTTGGTTAATTCTATAGTGCAGAGACACAACAAAAGCTGGCTTGTGATGAGCTTAGTAGGGGAAAAATAGGAAATATCATCTAATTTATATTTTTGTTTCAATGTTTTTTTTTGTTTTTGTTTTATTTTTGCATTTTAATTTAAAAAACAGTAAGTGAATTTGATTTAGTAAAAAAAAAAAATTGTTTAATTTAAATTATTTGTATTTTTTGCAGTGAAATGTAAAAAAACAATATAAGTGAATTTTATTTATTTAAAAAAAAAACTTATTTAAACATTTTTTTTAATTTAAATTTGTATTTTTTTGCAGTGAAATGTAAAAAACAATATAAGTGAATTTTATTTATTTAAAAAAAAAACTTATTTAAACATTTTTTTTAATTTAAATTTGTATTTTTTTGCAGTGAAATGTAAAAAACAATATAAGTGAATTGTATTTATTAAAAAAAAATTTTTTTTTTTAAAAATTAATAATTTAAATTATTTGTATTTTTTTGCAGTGAAATGTAAAAAACAATATAAGTGAATTTTATTTATTTAAAAAAAAAACTTATTTAAACATTTTTTTTAATTTAAATTTGTATTTTTTTGCAGTGAAATGTAAAAAACAATATAAGTGAATTTTATTTATTTAAAAAAAAAACTTATTTAAACATTTTTTTTAATTTAAATTTGTATTTTTTTGCAGTGAAATGTAAAAAACAATATAAGTGAATTTTATTTATTTAAAAAAAAAACTTATTTAAACATTTTTTTTAATTTAAATTTGTATTTTTTTGCAGTGAAATGTAAAAAACAATATAAGTGAATTTTATTTATTAAAAAAAATCTTTAAGATTTTGTTTATTTAAATCATTTTTATTTTTGAAGTGAAGTGAAATGTAAAACATAATAATATAAAAAAATCTCACTGAGAGACTATAATAGTTATACTATTATAGTTTTATTAATATTTTGAATCATTTAAAATTTTTAAAAAATGTACTTAGTTTTAGTCATTTTGTTGTGTTTTTGTCATTTTTATTATGTTTTGTTTGATTTTTTTTATATATATATATATATATATATTTTTTTTTAAATATTTTTTTATTTTATTTTTTTTTATTTCAAGTAACGAAAATGGTTTTCTTTAATGTTTTAGTTAATTATGAAAACCCTGGCCTGATGAATCTGATGAGGGATGTACAGCTGGGTTAGTTAATTGAGAAACTAGAGCAACACTAGTTTAGCATAATGAAATAATGTTATTAATGGAAGATATTATACACTCAGGAAAAAGTACAAAAGCAGTAACTGAGGAGGTCAGTCTTATTTACCCCTGAATGAGTGTTTTTTCACAGATGTTAGCACCTGAAGTGTGCATATCAGAGTGTTTTCAGTAACATCAGGCATGCTCATATGTGGTCAGACGGGACTGATGGTGATGAAGAGGTTAGGTTAGCAGTACACATAACAATATGAGAAATGGCTGGGTTTGGCAGACGCTTTACACACTTCAGCAGAGCAGAAGCGAGGACGAGCACCTGCTTTAGTTTACCTCTGTGCAGTTTAGCTGTCAGTATTTGTGCAGCAGGACTGAATATATTATATTACACGCTTGTAGCGACGCCGGGAAAAGCCTCGAAACATCATTAATCTGTGAGAGGCGGCAGGATCGCTCGCATGTGCTTTAAAACTGTAGTTTTCCAGATACGTTCTATGTCAGAGCGTGACACGTAATATGTTGTGCATTGAATTCAAGAGCGTTTTTATCCGATTAACTTCCCATTGCTTCTGTCATTATTAATGCCTGTTTGAACAGCTAGAACTTTATATTCCCAGCAAACTTTATATGCATGAAGGGTATGTGGCTAATTGCATTTTGTGCTATTTGAGGATTAATGGGACGCTTGGTTGCTTAGTAACTAGCAGTTAAATTTGAGCTAGACCAGAGGTGCCCAAAGTTTTTAATATGAAGGGCCGAAAACCAAACTTGATTGAGGACCGTGGACCAAAACTAAATGTTGCATTATATCCAACTGTATTATATTAAAACATTAAAAAAATAAAATAAAAAAAGAATTGTTTTTTAATCAAATGTTAAATAAAAATAATTAATTATTTTGATTATTTTTGTGTCATAAATTTTTATATAATATAGTTGGATATAATGCATCATTACTTTTGGCCCACGACCCTCAATTTCAACAAGTTTGATTTGTGGCCCTTCATATTAAAATGTTTTGGCTCTAGACTGTTATTTTAGTGTCATTGAGATACTATTATAGTTTTTAGTTAATATTTTTTATTTTTATATTTTCTGTTTTCAATTTAATTTTAGTTCAAGTTTTAGTTATTTTGTTACATGTTATACTTTTTTTTTTAAATATATTCCGTTTTCATTTTAATTTTAGTTGTAATTTTGTTGTCTTCTCTCATTTTTAGTAGTTTTAAAAAAAATATTTCAATAATTTTTTAATCAATTTCACATTGTTTTTTTACATGTCAATGCAAAAATAAAACAAAAAAAAATGTTAAAACAGAAATATGAATTAGAAATTAAAATATGCTTTAATGATACGTTTTTGGGTGAAATGTTTGATGCAACATCCTGGCCTTTTTTTTAACTCGACTATATTTTATAAATTACTTTAATGCTGGATTACAATGAACCCAAAATGGGTTGGAAATTAAAATTGCTTTAATGCATGCAGAATAATTACAGTAACAACACGAGCAACAGTAATATTCAAAAGGTGAAATTAATTTATTGATAAGAACACCCAGAGATGGATAAAAAATAACGTGTACATATGTATATGAGTGAGGAAAAAGTGCAGAAAAGACCGCAGTTTTACAGTTAAACGAAACATCGCTGAATAAATATTAAATAACTTACATTTAAGACCTAATTTGACCAGTTATTCCCTGTACGACTGCACATCTGACATGTATAGCGGAATGTGATTTTAATAGAAATGGAAAAGCAGGCATGAAAACTGGCGAAAAGTTTAGAAAGCATGTTGATTATGAGCTTTACTTCAGCCCAAAATGCCCTTCAAAACTTTCTGCGTGTCATCAGACAACTGGTCACTAATCAAACCTTTTTAGAAGCATCACAATTTATTAAGATATAATTGATGTTTTTAAGTAATATTTTGTTGTTTCTATTGTAGACAAATAAGAAAAAATAACACAGTTCAAAAATATGGGATTGGTAAGACTTTCTGCTTCACCAGGGCTGCATTTATTTGATCACAAATACAGTAAAAAATGTGAAATATTATTAGAATTCAAAACCGCTGTTTTCTATGTGAATATCTGTTAAACTGTAATGTATTTCTGTGATGCGCAGCTGTATTTTCAGCATCATTACTCCAGTCTTCAGTGTCACATGATCTTCAGAAATCATTCTGATATGCCGAATTGCAAGAAGCAATTAAATATATTGTATTATACATGCATAACTATTAAGATTCATTAAATGAATTCAATATTAGCCTACATTATAAAACTGACCATAGATCATTTCAACCATTCGACACATTTTAGCAACACTCTGAATTTTAAAATGTTTTGAAACCGAGGTTTGACGAAACAAGCTTCGGACCACTGATTCGAAACAAAAGATTCGTAAATGTTTTGAAGCTTCACGCATCTCAGAGTTTTGAAAGCATTGCCCTCATTTACATTCACGTGTTGTCATTTTAGATACGCCTGTATGTGATCATAAATGAAGCTCATATTAATTGTGTTCAGCGTTACAGCATGTTCGTTCGCTCGTTCTTCTGTGTTTATGAAACCATTAGTGATTAATTGAGTTCTTCGGTCACATGAGCTCGTCTGAATGAATCCTTCAGCCCACAAGGCTTTTCTGTAATTGTTTGGTTGTGGTGTGTGGGCCGTAGCGCTTCTCTCTCTCTCAGATGATTGTGTTTCTAGAGCAAATGAAGCCTTCGGTGTTCTTCTCTCAGTCTATGTCTCATTTGGTCTTCCTCTCTCTCTGCTCGTCTGTTTCCAGCTCTTTAATTATACATTTTCGGCCGGTTCCAGGTCTCTGTGTGTGCGTGTGGATGAGATGTTCAGATGTTCAGACGCTGGATGAATGATGTGTTTTGTTATTGGGGTTGTAAGTGTGCTTTAATTTCCTGCGCTGCGTCACTGAAGACTGAAGAGAAAACACATTTACACGAGAGGAAGTGATTTCTCTTTGTCACTGACAGACTCATCAGGGCTGTTTGGAAACACCGCGACTCACTGTGTGTGTGAGAGAGAGTATGTGTGTGTGAGTGAGAGTATGTGTGTGTGAGAGAGAGTGTGTGTGTGTGTGTGAGAGTGTGAGAGTGTGAATGTGTGTGTGTGTGTGTGTGTGTGTGACTGCATGTGTGTGAGTGAGAGTGCGTGTGAGAGTGTGCGTGCGTGCAGGTGCCTGTGAGTG